GGCAGTGGGGACACAGCAGCCATGCCAGTGAGCTTCCTGTTCAGCTCAGGGGTGACCTTGCACACAGCCTTGGCAGCACCAACAGAGGCAGGGATGATGTTCTGGAGAGCCCTGCCACTGTCACACCACAGTTTCCCAGAGGGGTAATCCACAGTCTTCTGGGTGCATAGACTGTGGCCATGAGTCTTCCCATGATACCAAAGTTGTCACGGATGACCTTGGCCAGGGACACCAGGCAGTTGGGGGTGCAGGAGGCATTGCGGACCATCTTGAGGCTGTTATCATACTTCTCATGGTTCATGCCCATCACAAATATGGGGGCATCAGCATAGGGGCAGAGATGATGTTTTTTTGGCTCTTCCCTGCAAGTGAGTCCCAGCCTTCTCCATGGTGGTGAAGACACTGGTGGACTCCACGATGTTCTCAGTGTCAGCATCACCCCATTCGATTTTAAAGGGATCTCACTCCTGGAAGATGGTGATGGGTTTTCCATTGATGACAAGCTTTCCATTTTCAGCCTTGATGGTGCCATGGAATTTGCCATGGGTGAAATAATACTGAAACATGTAGACCATGTAGTTGAGGTCAATAAAGGGGTCATAATGGTGACAATATTTATCAGAGTTAAAAGTAGCCCTGCTGACCAGGCACCGGATACAAGGCTCCGACCTTCACCTTCACCATGGTATCTCAGGGATGTGGCTGGCAATGTGAGAGAAGATGCAGCTGTCTGTCAAATGGGAGGAGCTGAGAGCTGAAAAAAATAGTGTTAGTGAGTGACACAGAAAGTTCAATGGAGAGACAACCCATGATCTTGGATGGGACATGTTTGTATTATTAACATGCTGGCTTTCCCCAAATCGAAGTATGAATTCAAGATAGTTTCAATAAAAATTCCAGTTGAATTTTTTTTGAGAAAGGAAAATATGTTACCATAATATTTACATGAAAGTTTAAAGGTTCACATAAAAGTAAGTAAAATATGAAATAGGAGCACAAATAGATGAGACCTGCCCTACCAGCTTATGAAGACATATTACAGTGTTAAGATTTAAAAGAATTGAAGATCCAAGATGGCCGAATAGGAATAGCTCTGGAGTGCAGTTCCCAGCGAGAATGCAGAGGGTGAGTGATCACCGCATTTCCAAACGAGTTTTTACTGCCCACAGACCAGGAGATTCCCAGGTGGAAAACACCATGAGTCTCCAGCACAGCTGTTTCAGCTAGTGCAGCGGGTCTCTGCACAAAAACTCACACAAATCTGGGTGGTTGTTTCAACTGGTACCTGGAATGCCTGGGAGACAGAGTGGCCCATTCAACTGAAAAAAGGGGTTCTGAAACAGAGAGCTAGGAGATCTGGCTTGGCGGGTCCCACCCCCACAAAGACCAGCAATCTGAAATGCTCTGGATTGAGGGTTTCACAGCAAGCACAGCTGGACCTGGGATGTTCCAGCTCTGTGGGGGGGAAGGGCATCTGCCATTACCAAGACAGTCCACCACTACCAAGGCAGTATGCCATTATTGAGGCAGTTTGCCATTACCAAGGCAATCCGCCATTACCAAGACAGTCCACCATTACGGAGACAGTCTGCCATTACTGAGGCAGACCATCACTACTGAGGTAGTTCTATCTATACCTCTATAAACAAAACCTCAAGGAGGTTCGCACAGCAGCTGGGCAGAGCCCACGGCAGCTCGGCAATGCCTCTGCTGGCAGACTGTGACTAGGCTACCTCCTTGCTAGGCAGGGCACCTCTGAAAAAAGGGAGCAGCATGTCAGAAACTTATAAATAAAGCCCCACTTTCCCAGCAGGGCATCTGGTTAAAAAAGGCAGTTATGAGTTCCACTGCAGCAGACTTAAATGTACTGCCCAGGAGCTCTGAATGGAACAGTGGAGCTCACAGCTCAGCACTTGAGCTCCTATAAGGGACAGACTGTCTCCTCAAGCAGCTCCCTGACCCCCATATATCCAAAGAGACACCTCATAAAGGAGAGCTCAGGTTGACATCTGGTGGGTATCCTTCTGGGACAAAGATAACAGAAGAAGAAACTGGCAGCAACCCTTACTGTTCTGCAGCTGCCACAGGTGATTCCCAGGCAAGCAGGATCTGGAGTGGACCTCCAGCAGTCCTACAGCAGAGGGGCCTGACTTTTAGAAGGAAAACTAAAAAAACAGAAAGAAATGACTTTATCATCAACAAAAAGGATGTCCACTCAGAGACCCCATTTGAAAGTCACCAACTACAAAGACCACCGGTAGATAAATCCACAAAGATGGGAAGAAACCAGTGCAAAAAAGATGAAAACATCCCAAACCAGAAAACCTCTTCTTCTCCAAGGGATCACAACTCCTCACCAGGAAGGGAACAAGGCTGTATGGAGAATGAGTCTGATGAATTGACAGAAACAGGCCTCAGAATGTGGGTAATAACAAACTTCTCAAGCTAAAAGAACATGTTCTAATGCAATGCAAAGAAACTAAGAACCTTGAAAAAAGGTTTGATGAAATGCTAATGAGAATAAACAGCTTAGAGAAGAATATAAATGAATTGATGAAGCTGAAAAACACAACACAAGAACTTCGCAAAGCATACACAAGTTTCAATAGCCAAATCGACCAAACAGAAGAAAGGATATCAGAGATTGAAGATCAACTCAGTGAAATAAAATGAGAAGGCAAGATTAGAGAAAACATGTACAAAGAAATCAACAAAGCCTCCAAGAAATATGGGATTATGTGACAAGACCTAATCTTCATTTGATAGCTGTTCCTGAATGTGATGGAGAAAATGAATACAAGCTGGAAAACACTCTTCAGGATATTATCCAGGAGAACTTCCCCAACCTAGCAAGGCAGGACAATATTCAAGTCTAGGAAATCAGAGAACACCACAAAGATATTCCTCAAGAAGAGCAACCCCAAGGCACATAATCATCAGATTCACCAGGGTTTAAATGAAGCAAAAAATGCTAAGGGCAGCCAGAGAGAAAGGTCGGGTTACCCACAAAGGGAAGCCCATCAGACTCACAGTGGATCTCTCAGCAGAAACCCTACAAGCCAGAAGAGAGTGGGGGCCAATATTCAACATCCTTAAAGAAAAGAACTTTCAACCCAGAATTTCATATCCAGCCAAACTAAGCTTCATAAGCGAAAGAGAAATAAAATCCTTTACAAACAAGCAATTGCTCAGAGATTTCATCACTACCAGGCCTGCCTTACAAGAGCTCCTCAAAGAAGCAGTAAACATAGAAAGGAACAATCAGTACCAGCCATTCCAAAAATGTACCAAATGGTAAAGAGCCTAGACACAATGAAGAAACTGTGTCAACTAATGGGCAAAAGAACCAGCTAGCACACTTTGAGAGGCCTGACAAAAACAAGCAATGGGAAAGGGAAAGGATTCTCTATTTAATAAATAGTGCTGGGAGAACTGGCTAGCCATATGCAGAAAATCGAAACTAGACCCCTTCCTTATGCTTTACACAAAAATTAAGTCAAGATGGATTAAAGACTTAAATGTTAAACCCAAACCTATACAAACCCTATAAGAAAATCTAGGTAATACCTCTCAGGATATAGGGACAGACAAAGATCTAATGGTGAAAACATCAAAAGCATTAAAACATCTAATTAAACTAAAGAGCTTCTGCACAACAAAAGAAACTATCATCAGAGTGAACAGACAACCTACAGAATGGGAGAAATGTTTGCAATCTATCCATCTGACAAAAGTCTAATATCCAGAATCTACAGGAAGCTTAAACAAATTTATAAAAAAAAAAAAACAACGCCATTAAAAACTGGGCAAAGTACATGAACACACACTTCTCAAAAGAAGACAACAAACATATATAAAAAAAAGTTCAACATCACTGATCATTAGAGAAATGCAAATCAAAACCACAATGCAATACCGTCTCACACCAATCAGAATCGTGATTATTAAAAAGTCAAGAAACAGCAGATGCTGGGGAGGCTGTGGAGAAATAGGAACACTTTTACACTGTTGGCAGGAATATAAATTATTTCAACCACCGTGGAAGACAGTGTGGCGAGTCCAGCACCAGGCTGCACTGACATTGAAGCTAAAAGCTATTCCTTTTACTACCTTAAACTCTTATTTGAAACAGCATTAAACTGGATGTCATCATTTTCTTCATCTTTCCTCATCCTGTCTGCTCACACCTGGACCTATATGAGATGGCCAGTGCCCTCCCACGGTGAGCCAACAGACCCTACTGCAGTTCCGGGTGAATACGTTGGGATTAACATCTCCCTTGCTTCTTGGACTTCTCTGAATATGGTTCAAGAGCAGACTTACTTGGGTTTTTGCTCGGTGGATTATGCTAGAAATTCCTGAGAAATTTCAAAGTCTCTAAATTACAAAATCCTTCAGTTACAAGTGTTGTTAAGTAGTGGTATTCTGGTATGTTGATGGGAATGCTCAACTCAATGCCACACTTACTAAGTTGTATTCTTTTACACCATCATTTCTGCTTAGACCATGAGACTGCCAACGCTTGAGCTTTTACTTTTTGTTGCTATTGTTGGTTTTTCTTTTAATTCATTCTACACTTTTACTATCGGAGTTTTCTGTCTTGAATGAATGTGATGAGCAGACCATTATTTTTTTGAGGTCAGGAATTTGAGACCAGCCAGCCCAACACGGTGAAACCCCAACTCTAACAAAAACACAAAAATCAGCCAGGTGTGGTGGCGGGCACCTGTAATCTCAGTTACTCAGGAGGCTGAGATGAGAATCACTTGAGCCCAGAAGGCGGAGGCTGCTATGAGGCGAGATCACGCACTGCACTCCAGCCTGGACGATAGAGCAACTCCATCTCAAAAAAGAAAGAAAATTAATGGGAAATATGGCAAATATTGCTGTGTATACACTTTTGCTGACAGACATTTTCTGACAGAGCTTAAGTGATCATGTGCAGACGCGATTTGGAGGAGGAGCTTCTGGAATCTGTGGAGTTGTTTCTGTGAAAAGGTTTAAGTGAGTCAGAATTTCTAGAGCTCAAGAGGGAGCTGGAGGAATTAGAAACAGAAGGTGCATTCATCAGCTTTGCGATGATAACAGGGGGTCCTGGGTGACTACTCTGCACCCCGTGAGCCTAATAAATATCATTCAAATTAATGCCCTAAGAAGCGTTTGTGCTCCAGTTCCTTTTTCAGCCAGATATAACTCGGGAATGGATACATGTGAGAGAATTGAGGTCAGTATTTATTTAAAGGAATGCGGAAGGGAGGAAAGAGAGAGAGGCTGACTAAAACCAGAGACTTCAAAGAAATGAAGGTTTGATGGTGAGTGTCCTTTTGGGCTGAGAATGAAACGGGGCTGAATAAGTACAGAGAGGAGGTGAGGTTCAGGGTAAGCTCATAATCACCTGCTTTGTTTACAGGAGAGAAGACAAGGGGAGAAGCTGGGGAGATAATCATTTTATATCCAAGTTACAAATTAGTAAATATCAGTCAGATTCCAGAATAGAGTGAGCATCAGGGAATATGAGGAAATTGAAGGAGAGATTGAACGGTTTTAAACTGTCACTTAGAATATGGGCAAAATAATTTCCACAGGTGGAATATTCCATGCTTTAACCATCTGGAAAGGCTGAGGACATAAGGACTCAGCTTGGCCTGGTCAGCAATGTGGTTTTTCGCTCTTCCTTTTTCTGATTCTATTTTTGGAGACGTAGGATATGACACCCATATCCTAATTATGTTAAATTGCCAACAAAACATGAGAAATATCAGATTACAGTAAATGCTAGCATAAATGAGATTTTTTATTTTCAGAAAACATTTTTTATTTACGTCATAAATTGTACTTGTTTTGCTTTTTCCACCCAGTCATATACGAAAATACCACGAGTTTTCTTATGGAATTTTTCTGTTTGATTTACTTGCACACTGTAGTTCCAAAGAGGTGTCCTGTTTAATGAGCCTAACCGAGGTAATGATCGGTCTTCAAACTGCAAAACAAAAGACCTTGGCATGCAAGTAAAGATAATTGGTAAATCAATTGTCATCATGCCAGTAATCAATTGCTTTGTACTGCTTGGGCAGCTCTTCTGTGCAAAAATCTTCATCTTCCTTTAGGATAAAGAAATGTAAAACCGTAACAGAGTAGGTTCAGACATTTACAAAAATTAACGTTAATATCTTGAAAAATAAAAATATAACTGAAAGTACCATCAATTAGAACAATTCACACTTAATTCCTATATTTTCTGTTGGCATGGTTGTAGGTTGAGAATAACAGGACCAAAGACTCTGTAAAGGCCACATATTTCCTTGTTGAAAAAATTGTAGGAGATGAATTTGAATAAGAAGAAGCAAAGTTAGTTGATAACATTGGATGGAAGAGAGGGGAGCGTGTGGGAGTAGGCTGACTGTGAGATCCTTCCAGACTGGGCTCTGCCAATTGACGTCAGCCTGCCACGAGCCTCCCCCAGATTCTGCAGACCAGCTGGGCCGGCCAACTGTGCAGGCTGTGGAACTGGTGTTAAAATATTTGGATATGGCCATGAGAAGTGAATAGACTCTCGGAATCGCAGACTGTTTGCTGTGCTAGCAGAAGCCTTGGAGACTAAACTCCCATGAGAAAGGATGGTCTCCTGAATTCATTTTTCTCATTTATATAAGCCAGAAGAATTTATAATTGTAAATCAGATTTGAATTTAGTAATTAGATAAATGAGTTAACAGCTTTTGAAAATGAATCACTTTGTAAGTTCATATTTTAGGTCTCAAGAATATGACACTCAGTATATAAAGGAGAATCAGGAGAGTTTAAAACTGGGGATAACATTTGGAGACAGGGGAGCTCACAGCCTGGCCACCTAGACTCAAAGTCAGTTATTGATGGATCTGGCCAGTAGTTATTGGGCACTATCTGCGGGCCGGGACATGTCCTAGGCACTAGAACAAACTCAGTGCCACAAAAGAAAACAAATAGAACTCTTTGCACTCATGCGACTGACAGCCTAGAAGAGGAGACAGAAAATAAGAAAATAGACATAAATAAGTAAATCATTTAGTCTAAGATGGGAACAGTGTTTTTATCTTTTATTTTTAATTAATTAATTTATTTATTTATTTGAGATGGAGTTTCGCTCTTGTTACCCAGGCTGGAGTGCAATGGCGCGATCTCGGCTCACTGCAACCTCCTCCTCCTGGGTTCAGGCAATTCTCCTGCCTCAGCCTCCTGAGTAGCTGGGATTACAGGCACGTGCCACCATGCCCAGCTAATTTTTTGTATTTTTTTAGTAGAGACGGGGTTTCACCATGTTGACCAGGATGGTCTCGATCTCTTGACCTCGTGATCCACCCGCCTCGGGCCTCCCTAAGTGCTGGGAACAGTGTTTTTAAAAAGCAGAGCAAGAGTATTTGGAAGAGATGTTGGGGGCTGGGAGACAGGTGGCAATTTGAACAGAATGATACAGAGTATTGGTCTTTTTGGGAGATTGTTATTTGGGCAACCACTTGAAGAAGGTGAAGGACTGAGAAGAGCAGACATTTGAAGGAAGAGCTCTCCAGCAGGGGACAGCTGCTGCAAATGCCCCCGGGCTGAACCACACTCAGGGGGTTCAGCAGTGAAGCTCCAGTTGCTGTAGCAGGGAACCAGGGCAGAAAAGCTGGAGACAGGATGAGGGAGGAAAACCCATCAGGACCTGAGGCCATTGTAAAGCCTTAGCCTTTACTCAGAATAAAATGGAGAACAACCAGAGAGTTTTAAGCAGAGGAGCCAAAGGGAGGTGATCCGATTTACGTTTTGAAGGGTCTGGAGACTGGCGCAGCGGAGAAGAGAAAGAAGATCCAGACTCTGAATAAATTGCATCTCAAAGGTGGCAACTGGACAAGGTGAAAGAAAGAATGGGAGACGTGAGAGAAAAGAATGAGGTAAACACAACCTGATGTTTTTGGCCGAAGCTACTAGAGAGATGTTTCCTTCAGCAGAGATGGGGATTAAAGGACAATGCTGTCACCTACTGTGTGCTGAGCTCCGGGCCAGGGGCTAACTCCCTAAGTGTGAGCCAGGTCAGTATTTTTTCATCTCCAGGTCAGGACCAATTTAATTTTTACAAGTTAGGGATTCTTGACTAGAATTTTAAAAAAACAAATGGAATAATGTTGTGGATACTTTGGTTCTGCACCAAGACACCTGAAGTGCTGCTGCTGGCTCAGGGCTGCGCATTTCACTGGCTCCCGTCTGTGATCACAGTGAACCCGCTGTCTGGAGAAGGGGAAGTGCAGCCAGACAGTGCCTGGCTGATGTGGGTACGGGGTCTAACCTCTTGAGTTCAGTTTGGTAAGTATCAGAAGAATTAATCCAGTTCCGGGTCTCCCCAGACGATGGGCTGAGGCCTCAGCAATGAAAAAGCTTTGTCTTCTTCTAGAAACGAGGCAAATATCAAGGGCCAAATCCTAGTGAAACCATGATGACATGCCGAGCTTGCCAAGACAGTAGGGGCGATGCGTTGATGAAGAGGAGCAACAGGATCTAGAAAATGTCTTGGTCGGGCCTGTGGCCTGTGAAAACCAGGGAAGGGTCTGCTAGCTCAAATGTGTCTCCCCAGGTCACATTGCCCTGTGGTGCTGTGCAGAGTAGTAGGTGAGTTCTGAGTGAGGTGAGGGTTATTTCACACAACAAGGGGCACCGGAGGCTTTGAAATATCTCCATTTCACACCCAGATAGATAGTCACGTGGCCCAAAGAACAGAGGGATTTAATGTAAGTAGACTGTTGTTGGGTTCTGACATAATAAGGGAAGATAATGTAATTTGAATGTAGATTGTGAGACGTTCAATGGGTATGCTGTAAATCCTAGAGCAACCATAAACACACACACACACAGAGAGAGAGAGAGAGAGAGAGAGAAAGTATAGTTAACAAGCCAATAGGGAAAATAAAATGAAACTATTAACAAAATTCATTTCATCTGAAATGTACTGAGAGGAGACAGGGCAAATAGAAAATAGCACTTTGTTAAGTGGTCACTTTCAATCTCTCCATGTTGATAATTACATGAAGTAAAAATGGCCTAAATGCTATATTTGAATGTCAGAGACTGTCAGACCGGATACAAAAGCAAGATACAACTATAGGCTGTAAAAAGGAAGTTGGAATGGCTATCTGAATGACAGAGTAATGACAGTGGCTTATCGGGATAAGTCACATTACAAAAACGACATTGTACAATAAGGAAATGAGAAATTCATCAAGAGAACATGGTAATCTGAGATGTGTAAACAGGGGTACAAATAACAAAGGTACAAAATACATAAAGCAAGAACAGACAGAACCAGAAGTAAAAAAGAGAACCCACATCTGTAATTGGAAATTTCTACCTTTCTCCCTGAGTAATGAAATAAATATGAGTCAGGATGTAGAAGATTTGAACATTATTGTGCTAGTTTCCCATGGCTGCTGTAACAAATCACTAAATTCTTGGCCATTTGAAACAAAGCAAATTAGTTTCAAAGCTTGCCATTCTGGCGGGGATGTAGATAGTGGAGGAGGCTGCACATGTGTGGGGCAGAGAATATATGGGAACTCTCTGTACTTTCATTTCTATTTTTTCTGTGAAATTAAAACCGCCCTTAAAAATGAAGTGTTAAAAAATCAATTTTCTAAGAGATGATCAACAGGTTGGTAACTTCCGGGTGTTAGGGATGGTGGTGGATGTGAGAGGGTAGGAAGAAGGGGATGGATGTGACCATAAGGGGTAGCATAAAAAAGATCTTTGTGGTGATTCATGGAATAATTGTGTATCTTCTTTTTTTTTTTTCAAGACAGGGTTTTGCCCTTTCATCCAGGCCAGAGTGCAGTGGTAGGAGCATATTTCAGTGCATCCTCAAATTCCTGGATTTAAACCATCCTTCTGCTTCAGTGTCCAGGGTAGCTGGGACTTCCACAGGCACGTGCCATCATGCTCAGCTACTTTTAAATTTTTATTCATTTTTGTAGAGATGAGGTCTTGCTATGTTGCTTAGACTGGTCTCATAGTTCTGTATCTTGGTTGTGGTGGTGGTGATTTTGTGAATCTACACATGCAGTAAAATGACACAGAAATAAAACTATACACACACAGTGAACACATTGAAACAACGCCAGTTTCCTGGTTTTGCTATTGTACGGTATTATATGACATATTGTGTATTATATTGTATTATACAATTGCTACTGTGCGGTATTTTACAAGACATAACCCCTGGGGGAAGCTGGTGACATGTACCAGGGATCTCTTTGTACTATCTTTCCAATTTCCTTTGAATCTATAACAATTTCCAAATAAATGGTTTTTAAAAATTATTCTCTTGGATTTCTGGAGGTCAGAATTCTGAAATGAGTTTCACTAGGCTGAGACCAGGGTGTCAGCAGGACCACCTCCTTTGGAGGCTCTAGGGAGCATTCATTTCCTTCCCTGTTCCACTTTCTAAAGCTGCATTCTTTGCACTTCTTGGCTCAGGATCCCTTTCTCCGTCTTCAGGACCAGTAGGGTATCGTCTTCACATCTCTCTCGGCTGTCTTCACATACCTTTTCCTTCTCTTGGCAAATCTCTCTCTGGATGCCTCTTACAAGGATGCCTATGATTATATTTAGGGCCAGATAATCCAGGATAATCTCCTTATCTCAAAGTCTTTTTTTTTTTTTTGAGACGGAGTTTCCCTCTTGTTACCCAGGCTGGAGTGCAATGGCGCGATCTCGGCTCACCGCAACCTCCGCCTCCTGGGTTCAGGCAATTCTCCTGCCTCAGCCTCCCGAGTAGCTGGGATTACAGGCACGCACCACCGTGCCCAGCTAATTTTTTGTAATTTTAGTAGAGACGGGGTTTCACCATGTTGACCAAGATGGTCTCGATCTGTTGACCTCGTGATCCACCCGCCTCGGCCTCCCAAAGTGCTGGGATTACAGGCGTGAGCCACCGCGCCCGGCCTATCTCAAAGTCTTTAATCAAGTCTTCAAAGTTCCTGATACTATGTCAGGCAACACTCATACGTTCCAGGGCTTAGGACCTGGATATGGTTCCGGGCTGTCATTCAGCCTGCTACGACTGTCACGCGACTTGCTGCAATGGACATTTATAACACACGCATCCCATGCGTCAGACAACACATTGTTTTCAAGTACAGATATTTGTCAGGATAGATTACATTCTGGGCTGTGAAGGAAGTCCTCTAAATCAACTTAAGAGGTTTGAAAGCATAAACATATTTTCTTCTTTCACATCTAGAAATCAGGCCAGATGCCTATGCCTGTAATCTCAGCACTTTGGGAGACCAAGGCGGGTAAATTAACTGAGGTCAAGAGTTTGAGACTAGTCTGACCAACATGATAAAACCCTGTCTCTACTAAAAATACAAAAATTGGCAGGGTGTCGTGGTGCATGCTTGTAATCCCAGTTACTTGGGAGGCTGAGATGAGAATTGCTTGAGCCCAGGAGGTGGAGACTACAGTGGGGTGAGATCACACCACCTGGGCACTCCAACCTGGGCAACAGAGTGACTCCATCTAAAAAAAAAAAACAGAAAACGAAAATTATGGGAAAATGTCTGTGTATAAACACAAAAAAAATTCCGTCTGATATCTTCCATATTATGTAATAAAATATACTAGAAATAGGCCGGGTGTGGTGGCTCATGCCTATAATCCCGGCACTTTGGGAGGCTGAGGCAGGTGGATCACCTGAGGTCAGGAGTTTGAGATCAGCCTGGCCAACATGCTGAAACCCCATCTCTTCTAAATAAACAAAAATTAGCCAGGTGTGGTGGCCCATGCCTGTGATGCCAGCTACTTGGGAGGCCGAGACAGGAGAATCTCTTGAACCCGAGAGGCAGAGGTTGCAGTGAGTGGAGATCACACCACCTGTGGGGGTCCGGCACGTTTGCCGGGGGGGCTTCCGACCAGCGGAGAGCCTCAGCCCCACTCAAATGTTCTCAGCCTGGAAGAGGGAGTGCGCGGAAGAAAAGATAGATAGAGAGTGGGGTCTGGAGGACTGCCAGGCAATGCTGGAGCAGCAAGTGCCAAGACAGCAAGTTTATTTGTGCAAACTACAGGTTATATACCTTTCAGTGTTTAAGGAGTGACATACATTCTATTGTATCTTGAAATAATTTCAAGAACATAAATCACAAGAAAAGGGGTACAGAAAATATGACTCTTAATCATAGGGTGTACAGCAAAGGGACAATGAAGTTTGCAAAAGGGGGTCATAAATCTAAACATATGTTTATCTAAAATCAGTCAAACAAGTAAGATCGTTAACAAGGTACAGCTGGCCCTTTCCAAATTTCATTCTAACCTTGCCTATTCATATAGGATCATATGCAAACAATATGGTTGAGTTAGCAGAGGTAAACAAAGTCATAGAGTTATTGTGCAGAGAAGGAACTAGGAGGCACACAATGTCTGTCTCATTAGACCACAAGGCCTGAGCTCAGCCATCCTGTTGCAAATGTCAGAGGCAAAGATAGATGTTTATAAAATCAGTGCAACCAGACTTCCTCTTTTCCCCTGAGCTCAGCAGCCCCCAGGAGAGGAGAAACGTGTATGGGCTCAAGCTCAAGATGGCGGGAGTCCTGTCAAGGGCCCTTCACAGGAGCGATCCCCACAACCTCCTGCATTCCAGCCTGGGTGACAGAGTAAAAAAAAAAAAAAAAACTAAAAATCCGTAACGGAAATATATAGAGAAAATCCTCAAATATTTTGATATAGACCAATTCTTTTAAAGAACTGTGAGTAAAAAAAGATATCATAAAAAAAATTGGAAAATGTTACTGCTGTCAAAACAAAAGTGCAGCCATCATTTGTGGCATGTAGATGAATAGTGTTTAGAGAGTAGTTTTCTATCAACAAATGCCTATAAAAACGTCTCAAACCAACAATCTAAGCTTTTACTCTAGGAAATTAAGAAAGAAGAATAAAGTAAACCTCTTCAAGATGAAGGAAAAAATATTAAGAATAAAATAACAAATAAATGAAATAGAAAACAGAAAGCCAGTAAAGACATATTAATAAAATGTTATGTGTTATTTGAAAAAAATCAATACAATTAACAAACTCTAATTAGATTGATCAGAGTAAAACTGGGAAGACAAAATTGACCAATATGAGAGAGGGCCATCACTACAGATTCTGTCGACACTGAGAGGATAATAAGTGAATAGTATGGACCACTTTATTTCACAGAAATGAATATTTTAGTGTAGATGGAATAGACGTATTCATTAAATACATGAACTAGCAAACTTAAGAAGAAACGAATAACCCGAATAGCACTGTATCCATAAAGTATTTGAATTCTAATTAAAAATGTTCCACTGCCATGAGTGTACCTATGCAACTATCTTGCATGTTCTGCACATGTACCCCAAAACCTAAAATGCAATAAAAAATGTTCCAACAAACAAACAAATAAAACCCTCCAGGCCCAGATGGCTTCATTGGTCTATCTCTAAGTCTGTCATACACTTAGGGAAGAAATAGTGCCAACTGAACACACACCCTTTCGTGAAAAAAAGATGGAATACTTCCCAGCTCAACTTATGAGGTCCTGTGACCATAATATCAAAAGTAGATCAATATATCTCATGATTGGAGATGCAAATATCTATAACAAGATATTTAAAGAATAAATCCTGCTTAATATAAAAATAATACATCAAGAACATGTGGGTATAATTTAATAACAATAAGGGTAGATTGAACATTTGAAAACCAACCAATGTAATTTACCCTATCAACAGACCAAAAGGGAATCACCATAAGATCATCTCAATAGATACAGAAAAGACATTTGACAAAATTCAGCATTTATTTTTGATAAGTTCTTGGAAAACAAGCATATAAATAAATGTTATCAATAAGATAAAGTAAACCATTAAAAAGCCTACAGCCAACATTGTATGTAGTGTCAAAAGACTGGATGCTTTCCCCTAAGATCTGAAACAAGGCAAGAATATTCACTTTTGTCACTTGTATTCAAGGTCATATTGGAGATCCTACACAATGCCACAAGGCAAGGTAAAGAAATAAAATGCACACAGATTGAAAAGTCAAAATGAAAGTTGACTTTATCCATATACTATATGTGTCTACATAGGAAAATTCCTAAGAATCTATATCAAAGCTACCAAAACTGTTAAATGATTTTAGCAAGCTGCCAGGTCCATAATCAATACACAGAAATCACATATGTTTATGTACTAGCAATGCCTGATTGGAAATTAAAATTTAAATAACATCATTTACAAGATCATCAAAAACATGACATATCAGGGATAAATTTAACAAAATATATTGAATAAGTCTATACAGTAACTAAAAAAAAACCAAACCAACATTACGGAAAATGATCAAAGACCAAATAAACGTAGAGAGATACCATACCCATGGGATAGAGAAATCAATCTATCGTGATATTTCCTCGGTCCAAGCTGACCTGTATCTTCAATGCAATCCCAATCAAAATCCCAGTGGGCATTTTTATAGAAATTGACAAGCTGATTTTCAACTGTACTTGCAAATGCAAAGGACCTAGAACATCCAAGACAGTTTTGAAAACTTATGACAAAGCTGAAGGAATCATGCTACTTAATTTCAGGGTTATTATGAGTAAACTGTGGCAAATGCATGTCATAGAATACTACCAGGGAGTAAGGAGGAACAGATCACATATTATTGTGTGATATAAGGCAAATAAGCCAAGTATGAAAGGTGGCATACTGTGTGATTCTGTTTTTGTGAAATTCTAGGAGAAGCGAAACTGTAGAGACAGAGATCAGAGTACTGGTTGCCCTGGCCCAGGTTTGTGGGGGTGGCACAGAATGAGAAGTGATACGAGGGAAACTTTTGAGGTAATACAATTCTACATCACGATAATACTCAATTCTACACTTAAACTGCTGAATTTCATCGCATATAAATGCAATTTTTTTATTTTAAAAAATAAAAAATGCAATGGTAAGAGAAGCGCCATTATTATTGAGAGTCTCTGCCTTATCAGTAACTATGATGTGGTGCTGTGTTTACAAGTGTGGTGTGGGTCTAAGAAACAAGGAGATGGAAGAAACCAAGGTCTTGCCTCACATCATGGCAGTGAACCCAATGAATGTCCCAATCAGCCACCCAAGGAAGATGTGTGCTTTCCACTTTAGGTTCTGCAATTCTAGAGGTTCTGGTTCTCAGAGGGCAAATGTTTCCATATTTCCATCTGGAGACACAAGAAGAGTCCCATTAGATTTCAAGCTATGGCTGTTGCTCAGTCAGCTCAGGATACTTGGGTCGAGAGACCCGCAGGCAAGGAAAATGTTGGCTTGGGCAATGGACTGACTTTCAGAAGAGCTGGGCCCATTGCTTCACATAGGGGAAGAAAGAGTATGTTTGTTGTTCAGGTGACCCACTAGTGGTCCTATGCTCAATTTTTAAATTGGAAAAAAAAAAAAAGAAAAGAATCTCAAACTTACAGAAAAGTTGCAACTAAGAAAATACAAAGGATTTCTTTTTTCAGTTGAATCTTTTGAGAGTAATTTGCCAAAATGATGTTCTATTGCCCACTAACACTTCAGTGTGTATTTGCTAAATATGAGGAAATTTTCCTACGTGACCACAAAGCAGCCATTAACACTAAGAAATGAAATGACAGTGCTATCTAATCTGCAGACCCCATTCAAGCTCCGCCAATGGAAGCTGTGCAGCTGTGTCAACATTGTTGGTGACCGTTTCAGCTTTCAGTGTGGTGGCATCTCAGTGGCACATCCAGAACCAACTGTGATAGCATCTCCAGCGTGCAGGGCAGGCATGGGCTGAGGGACTCTTGCCCAGGGGCATTCGCTCTCTGGCCTCTGGGAATCACTTGTTCATTTATACCTTCCAACCTTTTCCTCGCTTTTCCTCTTCCGGCTCTTCCAACACTGTATCACTAATCAGCTTCCTCTAGGGCTGAAATACTTAGTTTCTGTTTTCTGGACTGGATCCTGATACATAGACCACAGTGGGGGACAGAGCAAAGGCTTCACTGTGACTGCTGTGATACTCTTGAGGTCCTATAATGTCCATCCGGACCGAGACGAATATCTTCTTTGGCTCTGGGGTTCTCATCAGGTCGATTCATGAATATTCCAGTTCTCGTC